GATTTTTTTGTCTGCTCGTTCACACTACAGATAAAATGCAACAGCAAACGCTCTCTAGTGTGAACGCTCAAAGCGGCACAAAAGAAGACGTCACACACAACGCGCTCTGTTTAGACCCAGAGCAACAGTATTGTTTGACTGATGGCCGTTAATATAAAGACTTTGGACTTTACGTTTCCCAATTTTTGCTTTAAGTTATTTTGTTATTTCAATAATAATGTAAATAACCTAATAATGATCCTTATTGCTGTTTTAGAGGAGCGCTGCTTCAAAGGATAGTTGCAGATTTCTGTCAGAATCTGCAGATTATACAGTACAAATAAAATGTTCACGTTGTCTTCCCAACAGTTTCACTGACATCTACACGGAATGACCAGGAAGCGTTCGCGATGTCTTCTCCGGCGCTGATAATTGGCGTCTGTCTTGTGTCAGTGATGTAAAAGACGGATTTAATGCGACCTGACTGTTCAAACAGCAGTCGCTTTCTGAAACACTGGATATGTATCGGATTCAGTAACACATACGAGAGTGACCCAGATCGGATTTGAAAATATCAGATTTGTGCCGCTCACACTGTCACACCATGATGGGATATGGTCGCATAGGGTCACAAAAAGTTGGATTTGATGCGCTTTCGCCTGCAGTGTGAACGTAGCCGAAGTGATGAGCTGCACCAAGGCCTAGTGTAAGATAAGGATGTATTATATCTTCAAATAATGACTCCACTAGAACACAAATGGTCTCCAGTATTATAATATCTTCCACTGTCTCAAACCAAAGTATATCAACAACATGTTGGCTGATCATTAATTTTCTTGTAATTTTGGGACAATAAGTAGTAAGTGAGAGTGAAAACTTGACAATAAAGCCTCCAATTATGATTCTAAGCAGTTCAAATATAAATCCCAGTGCACTGTATTATTTCCCACACTCTGAACACTCACAGAGTGAATGACGGGAGCAGGGCACGTCTGCTGCACAGGTTCACTGCAGGAGTTTGAAAACAGGCAGCTGGCCTGGGGACCACCACACCACGCACAGCCGTATTTTGGGTCTGCTGTGTGGCAACGGCTGCAGTCAGATCGACCCACAGAGCAGTTGTACAGAGTCACTGAAAGCAGAGTAGACGTAGAGGAGCAGCAGACAGTTAACATGTGCTCGTAATGAAAACTTAAACAGCAAACAAACTTAATATGACCTTACCATAGAGATCACGAGAAGTGTCTACATGGAAGGTGTCCCTCCTCTTCAC